TCAAAGTCCCGAAATTTCTACCCCTTAGTTAATATCATTTTCTATTAAGCGGTCTTTACCGAGTCACCTTTAAGTGAGTACCAATGGCCTGTTTATATCGTCTTCCACTTGTAGTGAACGGTCAATGAGAACTCAAGAGGGAAGGTTGTCTCGGGTAACCGAGACTATAAAAACGGCGCCTGAATTTGGAGCACTCAAATAAAACCAAGTATAATCTTTCAAGTAAAATTCAATCCATATTCATATCTTAAAATCAATGTTCGTAGTATTTCTGTGCGACTCTTTGAACATCTAGTTGACAGTTGTGACATAAAATGACTTTTTTCAACGTTTCTTCCGTAGCCCTAATCTGTGGAATCTGTATTGAGCAGTCAACCTAGTGGACAGTTCGTGTCGCTTTAAATTAATAAACAAACTTGTATGTCTTGTATTAATTTTAGTCTAAACAACTCTACTTGGTAGACTTAAAGTGTGTTGCGTGGCGCAGTAAAATCCGAAGTAAAAAGATTTGGTTTTTGACGAACTTGATGAAATGTCTCAAAAGAAACTTCTTTTGAGTATATTTTACGGTACCATAAGCGGAGTTATCGCAGCATAGCTTGTCTCCAAATTTTTGGAGAGAAAAGGATGTGGACCGAAAGGAGCACGAGAGGAGATCAGAGAAGTGGAAGACGAGCGGGATGATCGCGACAACCCTGCGGATATACTACTGAAGAAAATGGTGAAAGATTCGAGAGGAAAGCTGAAGAACACGAGGAGAGACATGATTAAGGTTGGTGTTCTAATTATTATTTTATTTTAAATACCCCATCACCCTTCCGCCGTAGACGCCAACATTTCACGCATTTTTTAATTTTTGTTTAGTTTCAGCCGTAAGCTGAGATCGCTTGTGATTTCGGTGTCAAAATTCATCTTTAGGCGTTAGATTACGCTTACTCTCGTTCTATATCGATTCGTGGGCACTAATTTCCTGTCAGACGTGGGTTTATTTGATAATCTACACACTTTACACCTTGAGACGATAATACAATACCTGATCAGATGCATCACTGTGCGCAGAATTGGTTTGATTATTTCATGCCGCAACGCGTCCTGTTACATTCTTTGAATCTACTTCAGCAGTAGCAAAATAACAGCTTACTCGATAAACAATCAAACATGTGATAAAACGGAGAAATAAATTTTGAGCGTATAAATTATTTACGAAACAGGGAATTTATTTAAGAAAAAATTCCAAGGCCCGGCGGAGTTCGGACACGTGTAGTGCGTGATTGAGCCGATGTTCGAACGGTTTGTTTACATCGAAAGTCACGCGAAAGCTATCACCGAATAGGTGAATTGTATGGCACCTGAAAAATCATTGTTAAGTAAAAAAAACCCTAGTGAATTCGAAGTGATTTTTGTTTTTAATTCAGTAGATACAAGGAGCTGTCAAGGAAGAACTTTTACCTTAACTTGCATTTGCCGTGTGAACTGTACAAGTCAAGATTTTTGGAGCTGATACTCTATAGGTGTTACAACTTATTGTCATGCTGTTGGAGTTGGGATGTGGAATCCTTTATGTATAGTATGTAATGATTTATCGAGAGTTATAACATGTCGATAAAGTAACAATCTCCGTCGATGACTTTCAAACATTTGTGAGTATTTAAGGAATGTTTTGAGGCTCTCAAAAAAGCAAAGTGTCGTCTGAGGTCCATTTTTACAATATCTCTGGGCCTTAATTTTATTGAAAGTCTTGTTGTCAACCGGAGTAAACATTAAAGGAGATCATATTGTTAGCGCGTGATTTGTTTCGTTGGACCAAGTGGAATTCGATAAACTGGCGTACTATTGAAACAGGAAAGACTCCTCAGGATTATTAAGTGGATTATTTGGTTATGAAAACAGCTGCACTATATTAGTTTGAGTATTGTCATGACTTGTTCACCGGATAATGTACAGATATTATGGGGAGAAGTTACTTGTTCATCACATAAGGGTTTATTGTTGTTCTTTTGTGGCATCTTAAGCTTAGCCCAAGGCCCATCTTTTTTAGGCTTTTGATTGTGGCTTGTAACAGCCAAGATCAGATCATCGATTTCCAAAGATTGTTCGATTGATCGGTTGATTTCCGGATCGTCGATTTTCATCAATTGTGTAAAGTTATTCAAGCGCTTGCCCCTATGGCTACATATCAGCGTGTGACGTCGTTAAACTTGCGTCCTTAATTAGGACGCGTGCTGTGTGAGTTGATTTTGGCGAGGCTTGGTAGATAGATTTGGTTTCCGACGAACTTGATGAAATGTCCTCCAACAAAGTTCTTATGAGTGTAGTATGCGGCACCTTGAGCGGCATTATCGCCGCATGGCTTGTCTTCAAATTTTTGGAAAAGAAAGGATCGGGACCGAAAGGAGCGAGAGAGGAGATCAGAGAATTGGGAGACGAGCGGGATGATCGTGACAACCCTGCAGATAAGCTGCCTGAAGAAAATGATGAAAGACCCGACAAGAGGGCAGAAGAACACGAGGAAATGCATTATTAAGGTCGGTGTTCAAATTTTTATTTTGGATGAAATGCTTCCATTATCCTTTGATATACGCCACCATCACACGCTTTTGGAACCGTCAGAATTTTTGTTTTATTTTAGCTAGTTTGTGATGTTGCACTTCAGTGTTTCTTAGTTTTATTTAGATACGCTTCTCTCTGCGAAAAATACGATTTTTAGGACTTCTTTAGATGTGTTTTACAATTTTTAATGATGTTGCAGTCTAATTTATGTAAAACCTGCGATGTTAACCGGGTAGTTGCTAGGCTCCCCACCGTTATAAGTCTGGTGTTAGATCAAGATAATAAACTCTATCCAATAAGTTTAAGTATTCTCATTACCTGAATGCTGGATGATGTATGGATATTACAACGAAAATCTACATTTTAATCACTTTTGAGATTTACAAGTTTAAGGTTTACTTAGGTTTCCTAACTTAACAAGTAATGACGTCATCACGGGACGCTACGTCTTGCCAAAACCCTAAACTTTATGACCTTCGGCAGAATTACGAATAATGAATTAAGAATATATATTAATGGTAATTTAATATTTTTTGTTTTATTCGACAGAAACCGGAAGCGCTGTGATCAAAATTTCTGGAATTTCAAAGGCTGTTTTAACGTACCGGAATAAAGCCATAAACTGTTTTTGTGTGATTTAACTCGTATGTAACAGGTTATGATTGATTCCTTTTGGTCGCATAAATGAATCGTTTATATCATAATCAGTAACGTTTAATTTATATAGGTGAATTGTTTGTTTTATTAGGAGTTTTTCTTGTATCTCATTGTAATTTTTTCTGCTTGATTTACAATTGACTTTCTTTCGTTTAAACGAATTTTGAACTTAAAGTTACAGTTCGTGTCGCTTTAAATTAATAAAAAAAACTTTTATGTCTTGTATTAATTTTAGTCTGAACAACTTTACGTGTAGCCAAAAGACTGATCCTTGGCAATTTTTAATGAATGAAAAGGAGCGGTCGTTTTTTTTTTTCAGTGGGTTATTTATCGGAAGTTCTACTTTGAAGATTTTGGCAAGAATGTCGAGAGATGCGTCACTTGAAAATGACCTGTACTGTTCCTATATACGTTTGAGAACGAACGGTAAACAAACGATTGCGTGACTTCCGAATTTACATTTCCTTATGCAAATTATTTTGCGAAAAGTCTCGGGGATTCCCCTATCCGTAAATGATGTCATGTCTTACTTGTGAAATCGCCAGCGGCACAGAATCAAAAGAGGAAATTTGAACTGAAGTAAAACCGCGACTTGGTGAGAAATTCACCCCGTATACGTGTCATCCACGTGTTAATGACAGCAATGAAATTGCTGAGAGGAGTAATGAAAATGTCCTTCAGGAGATGAATTATTTTTTTAGTAGTAACTTGCTTGCTCGCACTCGATAAGGAGCTTTTCGATATTACCGGAAGAAAATAAGCTTACTACGAAATTGTTCTTCGCTAAAACCGGAATGCTTGTACTAACGCTCTGCTCGTTTCTTGTCCTTAATGTTAGTGAGCGGGTTTTTGCAAAGAGCTGAGAATTAAAGTATGGTTGCCTGGAAGCTCAGAGTATCCTGAACTGTAGTAACAGATTTTTAACATTATTAGGTGGCGCACTCACTTCACTTACTTAAACTGTTTTTAAGTGAAATAAAGTAAATACTCGTTTTTTCACGAGCGAGATACAAAGAAAGACTCCGTGTCTCACCTCCACGAAAAATCGAACTCTGTACCGTCGAATTTAACCATCGAATGCTCTGACACGGAGCTGCAGAGAACTCGATGATGAGCTGGACCGTTTGTAGGTTTCTTTGGATAAAACGGCAAAGGTCGTCTTTAATGAAATTCTGTTGGACGTGCGTTTCCTGTGGTAATTTTTCAAGGTGAAGCTATTTTGAAAGATGCATAACAGCAGGTATTAATAATTTTCGATTTCAACAAAGACCGTCGTTTCTGAAACGAAAAAATGCCCTCTGATACTTAAGCATAAAGTTTCCGAGTATTGACGTATCAATTGGGTTCGACATGTACTTTGCGCTCAGTGATACAACTACAAGAGACTAGGAGCCGAGCATTGAACGTTCCTCTTTGACATCACGGCGGCTATATTGTATACTGAAACAAATAAGCTTTGGTGGCCATATCAGTATTCTCGGAATTTGATCTATTTTTCTTTTGTAAGTGTCGCACGCGAGACTAACTGAGGATATTCGACTCCTTAGTGGTGAAACTGTGGTGTAAAAAATTTTCAATGGTTATACCACTATTATGTTTTGCAAAATAGACGCAAGGCATCAGAAAATTCTATGATAACTTTAAGCAACAGAAGATTGCGGTCTCATAACTAAACACAGAACCAGAGTTTCAGATTTTAGTATCGAAAGGAATTAAAACAATTTAAAAATCATTGTAATTATTTCTTAGTTGAAGAGCAACTAAACGAATGCTGTCCTTGCGGCAACTGTGATATGTTTGATCGGGACCGCCCGCGGGAAACCTCGATTGTCGCGGAAGATTGGAACAAAGGGTGTGTACTTCTTTCACGCTGGATACCTAAAGAAATTCACCACTGCGCAAGCGCTAAATCATCATCGCTGGGCTTGACCAACAGTGTGGCTCAATGGACTTTACTTACTCTTCTGTTAAGGTAAAAAACGAACGAAGCACGTCCCTGTGAAAATCAAAAAGGCTGTTTCAAAATGGTCGTGGTAGATGCTTAAGAAGTGAACTGAAAGAATTGCATTCAAGGCAGTGAGTTTTAAATGTGGATTTCGCACATTGAGATCCTCGTTAGTCAGTCAATAGATGGATGATTTTTGCCGCTGTCCATTTAACCCTTTAACCCCTAAGACTGACTAACATCTAACTTCTCCTTACAATATCACCACTGAATCAAACATTAAAGTCATGAGAATAAAGGAGATGATCACCAACTAAAGAAGCTCTTGATTATTCAACAAATTCTCCTTGTCAGAACCTTAGGAAATTTCAAGGGAGTAGTATGGAGAATATTCATACTGATGTTAGGGAGTCGAGGGTTAAACAATACTGAGACTGCACGTTCTCTCTGTTACCAGCGTCTTAAGCCACGCGGGATGTTAGGAGAACAAGAGAGAAGTGTGTAAATCACGAGCGGGAGGCGAGTGATTTACACCAGTAAACCGATAGAAAGTGGGGTACATTTTATTTATTAAATAAACTTAAAACAAAACGCAGTATGTTTTGATTTTCTATGGGTCTAAACGACAGGTTTTTGACCAATCGGGTCGCTCGTAGCATCTCAGATGTTTTATATATAGGGTAATTTGGTTTTATCAACTGCGTTGTTAGCGTGAGTTGGAAACTTACCCCCTTTATTTTATAAATAGCCTGATTTATTGCATCTTTAGTTGAGTTGTTGTTCTTTTTTTTTTTGTCATCCTGTATGTGAATGTGTGTGGGTCCTCAGTTTGTACATCAAGATAAAATGCTCTGAAATCTCATTAAAATTAAACATCAAGAACTTTTCAGTGATAAAGCTGCATTTAAAAGAACTACATAGTCGTTTTGTTTCCCTTTTTCTTTCGTAACAGGAGCTTCGTGAACTTGTTGGTCTTCATCATGACATTCAGTTTCTCTGTCTTGAGTTACACGTGAAACAGTTTGTTGGTCAAAGGCTGTTGCCCTTACAGGAGAAAATGGACCCATTTGACAGGTGAGACAACAAAGCTACAAGTTAAAATATCATTTTTATTTACTTAAAATATCGATATAAATATTTCGATAAAGTTTGCTTCACAAGGCAAGATCATTCCATTGAAAGTTAACAATTAAGATGAAATGAGTGTTGAAAGCTCTGAAAATATATATAATCGAAGAGAGAGAACGAGGTCATCGAAATTGTACGGTTTGGATCATTACCGTATTCCAACCAACCAGCGTTTTCCAGAACATTTTGAGAAACCGCAAGATTTTACAGCAGGCAAAGTTTAAATCTCGAAACCAGTTAAAATGCTGTAAATGTTTGCTTTTTCGTCCTGATTACTCAAAACAAACTCTGTGATCATTAGATTTTTATTCTGAGAAAGGAAAACTAGATAGATAAAATATGAATGAATAAAAGAATTCATAAAAACGACTTAAAGAAAGATACCCTTGAGCTGCGTGGCACTGATTAGCAAAGTGTTCAGTAAACATGAACAGAAAGGTGCCATGTTTTGGAAGATGGTTTCAAAAGTTTTGGGCCCGACCTTTCATCAGTGAAAAAAAAAAGGCTCGTCGAATGATAATTGTTAACCAAATGAAATGAAATGACATTGAAATCATTTTTTTTTTTTTTCATTACCTATTTTTCCTCAGTGAATTCCTGCGTTTGTATCGCATGGTTCGTGGTCTTCTTTGTGGAGGAGGCAAAGTTTTTCCAGCCATGGTCCTCGATAATATCTAACGGGCGTAAGCTAAGTTTCGTGGTACCGTTGTCTCCATAGCAAATCCTGATAACTGTTCTTCTCGGGCTATCATCTGTTCGTATCGGGTTATCTCACTACTGCGACTTTTGTGACGCTATATTCTTCATAAATATTCTTGATAAATAACTTATATCAAAAGTTTGATAGATCCATTTGCGACCTGTACTTTGTAGAGGATCGTAGCCAAGACTTCGCCGTAAATCAATTAGGTGTCCCTTTCCTTTCGTAACTTGTAGTGTTCATTGGGGATGTTACGGTTTCGAATCCATTCGAGTTAAATTTAGAGAAAGGTTCTGAATCAAACTTAACAAGATAATAACGAAGAACAAGTTGTTATCTTACATTGGTGGTCAAGTGAAACACTAATTTGATTATCAACTAGAAGTGGATAAAGGGAAATTAACCTTGAAATACAACGGACAGAAACGACCTGATTAAACATGGCGATAATGTGGGAACATGCAAAAGCCCTTATAGTCCGCTGAAAGGCATCCGGTGTTTGATTTGATGATTTTATTTAATGTGGGAACATGTAAATGACTGTTATTCATTTATTAGGAGCGTGGAACAAAGAAAAAAAATGACCCTTCTGCGGGGTTTCGAATCTCACTACCCTCAAACATCCAAGCATAACGTACATGCTTGAGATCTTTATTCTGAATTGGTCTTCACGTATCGAAAAATTGTGGATGAATATCCGCCTAATGCGCAGTAATTCCCTTCTGACGTAAAGCAGTATCAAAGCTGATACAACAGCCAGTCGTTTCGAACCCGATAATAAATATTATATTATCAGCGCTATACATGATTACCGAAATTCGTGCTGAAAGATAATTTTGAAGAATATTTCGGTTTCCAAATTTATACTAATGTCAATATTACAGTCACCTATCGCAGTACAAGGATTTTAAACCTCTCTTTTGAGCATATCTCAAATGTCCAGCGTTACACTCATAGCTGAGGCTTTTGGCCGTATCGTGTACAGTTTTACACGCGGTGTAACAGAGCATTGCAACCCAGAGGAACCTGAAATTACGGCGCGGGTTTTTGATCCTCTATTAAACAATGGACGCGAGTGGTTTCACCATCCTGTCGACGAGGTCATTTATCAACAATACAGCTACAGAAAAGCCACGGCTCAGGACTATCTACCTTCCAGCGATGTTTGTGCAAGGCTTATCGACGCCTCTTCAGTAGAGAACCCAGAAGTACCAGAAAATCAAACAGAGGAAGATGATGCAATGGCTTGGAAGCGACTCAGACCATCCGTTCTCCTTTCAGTTTGTCAATCAATGTACATTGGATCTTTGATTTCGTTTTTAACGGCTACCTTTGTAGGTTCAGTGTTCATACTGAAATCGTACATATGTTACGAGACTGTAAACTACTGCCAATTCTACCCAAAGGAGTCTATTCCAATAGGAATACAGTGGATGAGATCGATCTCGGATATCATTTCCTGTGCCTTCCTTTACATTTGGTTCTTGGTGTATTTGCTATTTCTTTTCCGTCCGTATCAGTTAAAAGGAGTGAAAAGAAAACTATATTTAGTCTGTTGTGTGACGTACTGCTTGGATTCCCTTTATCGCTTGGGTCTTCAAGTCCTGAATATATCTCATTCCAATCTATCTTCAGTGCAGAAGATTCCGATAAATATTTTATTGGTGACGAACGATTGCGTCCAGGCATATTTATTGACTAAACATTTCCGCCCTACAACGAAGAAAGGTCCAATTTGCTATAGCTGATTTTGTTCCTTCAACTGATAGTACCTGCTTATTTTCGTTTGTTTCTAGCCATTCCAGTGGCATCGTTGATTTATCCAGCTTACAATAAACAAGACAATGAAGGGAAATTACTAATCGCTCTATTTGCTCCTCTCATTGGAGTCGTACTCGAAGTCATCTCACGAATTTTTCTTCAGCGCTTATGCAACATTACTCATCCGGGATATTCGTATGTCTTGCTGGCGCCGTTGTATTGCGCTTCGGCGGTTATGTTCCGCATTTTACAAGCGGAACTAGATAGCTTAAAGTCCATCGCTATTATTGGGATTATTCACGGCGCTGCAGAGGTCATAGAACGAAGCACCATGGTTGCAATTGATCATCTCTGCCATGCGATCCTGAAAAGAGGATCAACTCCTTGGGGAGGTTTTCGCACTCCTCGCCGTGAGAGACTAATGGCTGATATCGCCATCATGAGCATGTTGTATGAATCAATTGCTATAGTGTCTGTAAACGGTGTTTTATACTTGTATCAAATGATATACTTACAAAACGAAAGCTTTGTAAATTTACTCAAGTATTTTGCCATTTTCACTTCTGTTCCACTGGCGATCGAGTGTTTCTTTATCACCCTGTCGATTATGATCGCTACCCGCTATCAGAATATGCCTATCATGGCCATATGGCGAAGACGATGGAAAAGACATATAGTTCTGGCGATTATTACATCAGTATCTATAGCAAATTGGACCAGTACAAACCTTTTAACGATTGTCCATCAGCGCTTTGCTGAAGATTCGTCAAATAAGACTTGTAAAATGCCGTTTAGTTAAATTGGTATATGATTACCACCTTTGCTTCCTCAAAATAGGATACTTTGTAGATGCATTTTTGTTTTGTTTTTCGTCAGTTTTCTATTCTCGACTGCATGCTTTTAAGACAGGTAGCGAAATAAGCTTCATTTGTGAAATATATAACGAAAGCGGGCGAATAAAATCTTGAGTTGAGTCTGTGAAACCGTGATGATGACTGGCACGCCTTTTGGTCAGCCAAAAGGCACCCTGCAGCGGTTTAAAATTATTTTTGTAAGTAACGTCACTCCAAGATTTAAGGTTCTTCTAGCTAAGTGGTGGCATGCACAGTTCTTTAAGGTGTGGTTGTTAACAGAATTATTTTGTCAAACAGGGTATCGATTTTACCAGTTTAGTTCTAAAATTTCACCTGAACTCGGTGTCTTGAATGGTGTGTGGAGAGAAAGGAGCAGAAATTATGTAGGAACAGAAATTGTGACTGATTATGCAACCCGCTGTGAAATTATTGCTTCTGAAATTTGTACACGTTCGCATCTCACTAATTAAAAGCAGCCATTATACTTGTTATCCTGTGGCTTAAGATTCGTTGCTGTCGATGTTACAGCTGAGTTCTGAACCAAGAAGTCGAGTGGAGTGTCCGGCATGATTACGCTCTGGATTTTAGGATCACGTCTGTGGAGGGAAGGTAAGGCGGATTTGAAAAGGATGCCGCACTCTCCCTATGCCAAATCTTCTTGAAATTACCTTCTCCCCAAAGAATAGGTGTCGTGTTTAGAACCTCTGTCATTTGGTTTTAAACGAATTGAAACTCCCTAAAATTATACATAAGCATACTCCTGTGGTATTGTCTTGCTGATATCAAACAATACAAACAACCCTGTATAGCTGATCACACGACAAACATTGCATGTGAAATGAAAACAAAAGAGTAAAAGGAAAAGTAGAGAAATGTCTCATTCCTCAAATTTTGCGGCTTAAAAAATTACTGAAAGTTACAGCCTTGATTCTGAGAAGAGAAATTGCGAGCTTTTACAACTCCTTGGGGAAGTTTTCGCACTCCTCGTCGTGAGAGGCTAATGGCTGATATAACTATTATGAGCACGCTGTTTGAATCAACTGCTATAGTTTCCGTCAACGGCTGTTTGTATTTGTATAAGTTCAATTTCCTTCAAAACACCTCTCTATTAGAAGTGTTGAAGCCTTTTGCTCTAACAACTTGTCTTCAGTTGGTGATTGAGTGGTTTTTCACCAGCGTATCCCTCGCGATCGAGACTCACTATCAGAATATGGCTGTTATGGCTGTTTGGCAAAGAAGATGGAAAAGACATACTTTAATATCAATTACAACTTCAGTGCTCATAGCATTATGGACTAGCACACTTCTGTTAATTATTGTGCATGGAAGATTTAAAGAGTCTTCGAATCAACCTTGTAAGATGCCGTTTACTTAGAACTGAAGAATGAAGCATAGAAAGCACCAAGTCTTCTATAGGTTTACAGTCGTTTCGATATAACTTCAGTAAGAGCAGTTACGTAACCTACGCAGCCCATGTATCGAATCGGCTTTGTCGATGTATCGAATCGACTTGTATCGAATAAACTTTAAAATATAAATCTTGCTCATAGGTCACGATCTAATTTTAAGGTTT